CCAATTCAGCATGAAGCGAGGCAGCCAGAAGCTGTGTAAGAGAATATTTATGGATGAGGTGAGCCTGAATAAGCTCATCTGCCAGGTGTTAAAAAACATGCAAATTAAGCTAATTAGGCTTATAGACCATGTCTCAACACTGTGTCCATGCCACCCACTAAAACACCTTGGAACACTTGACATTTGTTTAGAGCTTAGTTTTTCAAAAGACCAGTTTCAGCCCTGACACATTCTCAGTGTGTACAGAATAAATATCTGCACTTCAGTCGTGCCCCACCACGGCCTGGTATATATGATGCCAGAAATCCTTGTTGAATGACTAACTCCTCCCAATGTGCATGGTGCTTTGCAATGATCACTAAGTGCTTTCATAAAAATATTTATCTCTTCTAACACTGTATCCAACCCTGTGTGGGAAGATCCCTACTCGACAGGGCAGGGGCCAGATTCAGAGATAAGGTGGCTGTGCCCAAGTGCTGGAACAGGAAATGGTGATAACAAGTCTTGGGCATCCTGTCACTAGGTGGTGGTCTCCTGTAGGGACAAAAGGGACCACCGTTGATGGCACAGGCCCCATAAAATGATGGCAAGCACGGAGTTCACTCCAATTTTTTAGATTAAGAAATGGTGTGTGTGGCGGGGAGTTCTTAAAAGTTCAATGACTCGAGCAGGGTCACAGGTTCAAAGTGGCTGAGTCGAGACCTTGGGAGTCAAGATTCAGCAGAACAGATGCTGGCTGCACCGTACCCACCCAGTACAAGCTTAGCCCGTTATTCAGTACTTACCTTCAAAACATCAGGGCACAAAGATATACCTCTTTTTCAGACAGACTTTCTCTTTTTTTTTCCACAACAAAATAGGAAAGACGATTAAACAGACTCAAGTCTGTTTACTACTACTAGAGTCCAGCCCTGACTTGGCTGCTGGCCACTATTCAGATCTAACTAAGTTACTCTTCTGCTTTGCAGCCTGGAAGGGGTGCCTCCCAGCTGCCCGCTGCAAGCATCTAAATCTCCCGTCTCGACACCTGAAGGCCTTCCCCACTAGCCTGCAATTCAATCTCTCCTCACCTTTCTTCACATCCATCCAGGCCCACAGCACGGGGAACTCACTGTTTTTGTAAATACTTGAGGCCTTGCCTTGCCTCTGAGCCTTTGCCCATGTTGTGCCCCCTGCCTGCAATGCCTTAGACATCTTTCATCCGATCTAGTTTTCATCTGCATGACCTCCACAAACCTTTCCTAATCCTCGAGTCTGCTTTTTCTGCATTCCACACCATGGCTAGACATCTCTCCATCACAGAATTTATCAAACTGAATTCTAATGCATTAACATGCCCATCCTCCACGCTCCACCCCTAGAGCACACGGTGGAATAAAGGCTTATCAATCTTTGTATTAATCTTGCTTTGCCCAGTCCCCTGTGGACAGAGAGCTAGCTCAGTAGACGTGAAAGGGCTGGCTGATGGTTTTTGAACAAGGTTTTCAGAGTTAACTCCGCTTCAACACGAAATTCAAAACAGTGAAGAAGACGGGACTCAAACATGGCAGGGAAATAACATACACTTTTACTCTCAAAATAAATACTAATCAATTTTATTTTATAAATACAGATGCTGAGTTTTCTTCCAATTACCAACAGATCAGTTTCACATGCCATTTATTATTGGTGGTGGTTTAAAAAATTATTTAAATAACCGGTTAGGTCAGGATAAACGGGCACCATTAAAACTGCTAAAAAAATATAGCTGGATACAATCTTCCAAAACTAATATTCCGAGGGGGGAAAAAAATCTCTGGAATTTCTAAAGTGGGTAAGGGGAAGTGGAGAGAGAACACAATCAAATATTCACTTGATAACATTTGCCGGCTGTTAAAAGTGTCTCAGCTTCATGAAAACAGGGCTCCTAAGCAGTTCTGATGTGGATAGCAGGGAATTTTATTTCAGGTTATATCCTCAAAGCAGATTTTAGTTTTTTTTTTTTTTTTAGTGATTTACAAGACTAATTAAAAAGATTAGTAGGAGATAATAACTCGTCCCCTATTTTGGCCTTGGCCATTTTAAACGGAGGCAAAACTAATTCTGCAGCTTTGGGAAATGGCGAGCAGAGTTCCTCCCGGAGACGCGTAATACTGTAGGTTCTACCCGAGGAAGGGCAGAAGCCGGAGGCACCAAACTCGGGGAAAACCTGAAACCCAAACTAAAGGAACCCAAGCCTCAGTGGCGCGGTGAGGCACGACATCACGGAACACGGCGTGGACCGGGCCAAAGCCTAGGTAACCGGTTCCCAGCTACCAACCACATTGTCGCAGGGCTCCCCCAGAATCAGGGAGTCCCCAAACAGGAGACCGACAGAGCCCCAGGCTCTATCTGGTTGTGTGGAACCTGAGACGAACACTGTAACCGTGGGTGCCCTGCAGGTGGTCCCTCTGCTGGGGGGTGCCCGCCCAGACCCAGGCCGGAGGGCCTGCATCTCCATGTACCCTGTCTTAAGTCTGGCATGAAGTTTAAAGTCCACTCCCATATGCGGACTTTAAGCCACATATGATGCACCTTCCACCACTTGATACTAACAGTCCTTCCAAACCCGTTTTCTTTTGCAGGGGCAAAGTGGGGTAGATGTTACTTCATTGGAGGACCCCACACAGCCCAGTCTGGTGGATAGCCGAGACCACCACTATCTTCCCCTCATTGAGTCTAACACGAGTGACAGTACACTTCGAAGAAGCTGTGACTCTACAGATGGCTTCTGCTTTAGGTTTGGAGTAGTTCCACCTCTTTCTGTGGAATAAGATGGATTTCTTCAGATCAAGTTAAATCTCTTAATTGCTTGCAGGTTGGGTCTGTCTGTCAAGCATGGATTCTGTGAGTTCCCTTTATGTGGAAAATAACAACATGAACTATTCTGCTTGACAGTGTGGCTGTCAGTGAGAACTCGAGCCCAGGAGTGCTTGGACAATATATGAAAATGATCACGAGACCAGAGTTCAGCCATTACGTAGGACAAACGCAGCTACCAGAGAGTACGTGTGTGAAAGTGTTTGTGCTGCTATGCAGGCCATGTCGACTCGAGTCAACGACATGACTCGATACAGCCACAGTTTCTGTTCAGGCTCGCCCTGTCACGATGTAACATGGAGATGCAGGTTCAAGATGAATTTCAAAAACTGGAAAAAACAAATCAGGTCAAGTGAAGTAAATTCAGTTTTTATTCTTCTATACAATACATGGATATATGCATAAATTTCTCCTTAAAGAGCTTGCAACCCTGAGGCAATGTCCTTGGGTATATAAAGTATAGAACAATAGCAAATGAGATCTGCGCTCCAGGAATGAAATCGGACTTCAAGAACATAATTTACTATGAATGAGCCTGCACATATACCAATAGTATCTATGCCTCATCTAAGCCTTTTCATCCAACTATCCTGATTGCCTCAAGCTCTGTACATCAGTCTGACTCTCCAGATGATACATCATATCCAGCACCTTCCTTTCCAACTGAAATTTAATAAATTAGCATGGAATTTACATACAGGTATTTCTGTCTGGTAAGTGCATTGGCAGAGAGCATGCCTGGTTTTTGACTGCAGCATCCGCCCACATAAGAAATCTGGCTCCTGGAGGGACTGGATGCCATCTCACTGTTGTAACCACGGGGGTCCTGGAGTGTCCCCTGGGATCTACCAGAAATGAGGTTTTCCCTTTAATGGTTATATCAAAGGTATGGCTGAGCTGAGGAGATAGAAGGTCCTGGCCACTGTGTTCAAGAACCAGTGAATCCGATGTCGTCAGTGTTCAGGGTGCACAACCCATCCACTATGAAGGTTGGGGAGCGGATGGGGTGACAAGGGACAGAGGCAGGGAGGCCAGGTGTAAGGAGACCATTGTGCTTCTTATTCATCAAACTCATGGATGGTCAAAGATTCTTTCAGTAAATGGAGAAAATCTTTTTTGGAATATTTGGTCTTCCCAAGCTTTTATAAACGACGGTGAGGGCAAATGCTTATGAGAAACTAAAGGTGAGTTTATTATATTATTTATATATTATCATCTCCCCTCTGAGCATAACACAGAAATGTAAATTCAAAAGCAGACAAATACCTATAAGGTGACTCGAGCTAGAGAATGACTTTTGTCTTAAAACAATCATCATGCCTGAAAAGCACATCTTGCAAGCAAAACCTAACTTTGTCTGGCCCACTGATACACAATGATCCTGAGTCCCTCCTTGATTTACAAAGTCTGTTTTTCTGAGGAATATCCTCCACTAATATTCATTTTGTGTCATAATTATTACAAGGGGTAACCAGTAGAGTTTTATCCTCCTTTTAGGCAGCGCCTCTGTCCTGCTCCCACCGGCTGGCTGCTCACGTCACTTATCAGAACTCCTGCGTGGCCGGCGGAAGCTGGACACGTTTTCGTTCAGTGCATAGATCCTTCGGGAGAATTCTTCAAATTCTCCCAGAACTTGCTCGTCACACTCCACCGCCACGGCACTATCCACCGGGATGCAGTTAAAGGCTTCTAGCTGGTCGCCCGAGGTGAAGCCGGTGGCCTCCATCCCGATGATCTCTTCCGCCTGTTCTACCGTACAGCAGAGCTCGGGCTCCGAGACCGGGTGGAACTCACCCGGAAGCCGGATGCTGGAGGAGCCCGCCTGCTCGCTGGGAAGCACAGTGCCGTTTATGGTGGCTGGATGCCCAGAGAGGGCTTCTTCTTGTTCTTGGCTAGTGTTCACACTCACATGACCTCTGTTTAATCTGTCACCCAAATCGACTCCTTTTTTCTTGTTTTCTTTGGAGAAGTCCAAGGAGGTATCCAAGGAGGAGGACAGAGATGTTGTCTTTCGCTCAGATTCTCCTATGGAAGGGCCAGTGGGGACAGGCTGGGCCAGCGCGGAGTTGTAACTGGGGGGAGGGGTTTTGTACTGGAGTCTCTCATTCTCTGAGCTGGCCCGTTTCCGGTGTCCTTTGTCTGGGGACGGGACCCCCCCAGAGAAGCCTACATCTGCGCCTCCAAATATGGAGCTTTGTCTCTTTGGAACAGGGATTGCACTGGAGGTGTGATGTCTGTCGCTAGAAGACAAACAAAAATGAGAAGTTACTTTCAAGTCTCGAACTCAGCCTAATAAGCCTTCTGGATTCAGAGACAGGAAACAACATATTTAAGTTTGAGATAATAAAAATTGATACTAATCAACCTTAGTTATTCACTGTAGTGTCCAAATGCAAGAAAAAACATGAAGCATTCTGGATTCAAGTTTGAGAGCTTCCTTCATGAAGGATACAATACACACTAAAATATATCCAGAGAACAGTGTCCAGGGTGGGATGCAGGATAGAAACCATGTTGTGGGGGGAAGAGTTGAAATAACTGGAGGGGTGAGATCTGAAAGAAAAGTATAATCAACCCCATGGGTCTGAAGAGCTATCAATATTCTTATTTTTTGTTTTAAATATTCAACTCTTAGGGCACCTGGGTGGCTCAGTCAGTTGGGCAGCCGACTCTTGGTTTCGGCTCAGGTCATGGTCTTGGGGTCCTGGGATTGAGCCCCAAGTCAGCTGTGCTCAGTGGGGAGTCTGCTTCAGGATTCGCTCTCTCCCTCTCCTTCTGCCCCTCCCCCTGCTCATGCTTTCTCTCTCTGGAATAAATAAATCTTAAAAAAATATTCAACTCTTATATTTTATCTTCATAAAGCAGACATCCTTATCTGGCAGAGAAGTTAAATGACTTGTCCCCAATAGCCTCAGTAAGGCAGTGGCAGGCTAAACTAAAGCCCATGACTCACGACTTACTGATCAACAGCTTTTCTGACATCCAAATGCATTTGACACCTGGCAGAGTGGGGGCCAAGGAGACAGCTATATTTGTATCTGTACCTATATCGATCTAATATAGATTATTGATCTAATACCTCAATTTTTTTTCTTTAATGAAATGTTAACTTGGAAAATGGCTTCTTTTAAGGCTAGTCACATACATGGTTTACAATACTTGGTCTTCAGTGACTTTTCTTGAACTTGAGCTCCTTCTCGGGAAGACACTTCAGGGCCAGCAATAATAATCACTGTTTAGCTATACAAAGCATTTTAATTTCTAAAGTAATTTCTTATATATCGTTTCACTTGGTTCTCACAAAAACCCTGTCAAGAAAGCAGGGTATACGCTATTACTCTTAAGTCTGAAATAATAAATAAATAATCACAAGTTAATGGAAATCAAGTATCCAGACCCTGGAAATGATGGTCATGTTATATGCTGTGCTAGTTAAGCCACCCCTGGAGTACTGATCACAGTTCTAGATATTACACTTGGATGAAGCCAGTTAGCTCAATACCACCATTATGAACAGACTGGGTCCAGAGATAGAAGGCAAGATTCATTTGACTTGTATTCTTCAGATGAGGACACACACAGAGAAGTGGCTTGCAAAACAGCAGCTATTAGATAAGAAAAGAGGCTAGACTTGAAACTATACCTACCCAACAAAGAGCTATTACTTGTTCCAGGCCTTGGGGAGGGGAAACAGATGCAAGATAGAGCAGACCCTGCCTCTGAGGAGCTTCCAATCTTGCAGGAGAAAAATCATCCATAATTACTGAAATAATATATTTTCAAATTACAGTTGTGATAAGTGCCCTGAAAAAGAAGAAAGGATCTAGAGTTCCTTCCTTCACCTCTGTCCATGGCCACAAGCCCTCATGCCAGCTCCCTGATCCCTCTTCTCTCAGATTTTTCCTGATGCTAGATGATGCCTGTGGTCTCAGACACCACACCTAAGCAAGGGTTATTCTTCTTGCAAAAAGGCAACCACAAGGCTTCTAATCCATGGGCCCATCGGACTCTGTTGCTTGGCTATAAGTGTTGGTGCCAGGAGAGATTTCATAATTAGGGGTGGTCACTGGTACGCATAAAAAACAAGACAAGTAGGCCAGCAAATTACTGTTTTTAGTTCTCAAGAAAAACAAAACAAAACAGAGAAAAATCTACCGGCCTTAATCTAGGTTTTCAGTTAATATGTTGTCAAAACTCACAGTAATTGGGTAAGCCACATATTTTTGCCAACCTTGTTGTTTTTCCTCTACTACTTGCTGACAGCATCCCTCTCTAAATGATTTTGCAGGGGGTCTAGATAATCAAACCAAAACAGAGCATCAGCACCACCCACAGACTGTCTATTCTGGGCAGACAGGCCAAGCTTTTAGATGCCACCTCAGCCTAGGAGGGTGGGAAACATCAAGTGAACTGGCCTGGAATGCTGAAGGTGCTATCACTGAGGTACAACCAGAGGCCAGGTACTTGACCATCATGGCTATGAAAGGTGAACAACCTAAGACCCCTCACTGCCACTGCCACCCACCTCCTGCCACCTGGCCGTACCCTGCAAGCACCCAGTTCTGCTTCCCTGCTGGGCTGCAGGTGGGCTGATAAAAAGGCAGGACATGAGAAACAGGCCTGGGCACAATAAGCTGTGCTTACGGACACAAGGGGAACAGGGGTTTTGTAGCCCTCTTGGATTCTGAGACTCCCTGAAAGATCTCCATGGCTCTGTACAAAGGAAAGTAATAAAGTGTGACATCCCTCCCCTCAATTATAATGGGAAGGGAGCTATGATTTTATTGCACATCAATAAAGTGGGACCTCGCATCTATCTTGTGGAAAAGATAGGCATCTGGGTGGGTTATGTGGTTTGTTAAAGGCTGCAGAAACCACATCTAAACTAGATTCAGTCTGACTCCAGAGCCCACACTGTCTGTTGCATCCCAAGTGGGAAACACATTCAAATTCAACTAACATTTGCCAACTGCTAATGAAATCCCAACCTTGAGCTAGATGCCATTACACAGGCTTTCTCATTTAACCTACCTAACCTATATCTAAGCTCTGGGGTGCTACTCTTCTTTTAATGGATGGATTCTAAAGCTTTGCAAGGTAGAGATTTTGGCATTTTCTGACATCCTGATTTTGTAATATTCTCAAAGTTCCTTTAGATTTTTATGAGAACCTAGGTAATGACAGTATCGGATACAGTTTGGAGAGCCCAAGTAACAGTAAAATGTTCCCCCTGAAGAATGGTAAAGAAATGAGTTATTATCGATAGCCAAGAAAGTCTAGGTGTCTAGACATTGCCCTTCAATCATCACATGTAGTCTTTACTCCCATTTTTAGCCATGTGTAACAAGACCTTAAAAATTTTTTATTAAAGTCTTTCTTATAATCTTAAAGAGAGTAAGCTGAAGAAAAGGGGATTTTCTTGATAATGCTGGGCTATCGATATGAACATGTATTACTGAACTGTGACATGGGGAAGAGATGACAGGACACTTAGTGGTGCTGAGTCTGGATCTCAGGGCTCTCCCGCCTGCACCCACACTTCCCTGGTTCCTCTCTCACTGCCAGGCTGGTGGTATGCCTGCGCTGAAGTGCTTGCCTGTAGACCCTTGTCTTTTGTTAATGTCTGCTTCTGATTCGCTGTGCCTCCTGTGGTGGATGGCTTGAGAACCATGTGCAAAAGTAAGAGTACCTAGGCTTGAGTGAGGGGCCAGCTATACCCAGGGCATAACATGCTCGACTTTATGAGTTTTGTAACGAGTTTTGGCTGCTCGGAGTTAATTTTTTTTATTACTTCCAGGATCTTAGCGGTGTTCCAGATTTTTCAGATAGCTGAGTTCTAAACAGCTGAAGTGTTGAATGATTACATTAAAATATATACAAACACACATGCATTTTTAATTATTGTAATAATTTAAACTCCCCAGAAAACTCAAAAAATATAAACTACATAAAAAATAAAAATCACTCACAAGCCTATTACCTATCAAATAATCACAATTAATCCTGAGAATTCTGTTTTTAGACTTTGATTTTAATATGTGTGTTTAATTAAAAAGGAGAAAAAAACCTAAAGTTATGTTCGTGGCACATATACACAATTCTGTATCCTGCCGTTGGATTTTATTAAAACCTTTTGGTAAACAATTCTAAATGGCTGCTCCACTGAATGGAATATTCACTTATTTTGTATTCCCAAAACTTTATTATTAAAAAACAAACTGCTGTGAGCAGTACAGAACACAGTGAATAGATTTTTAACAAAGTAATTTGGATTTTCACATTTAATAGAAAGTCTCCAGAAGGAACCTTCGTTACACATTTTAGTACAAGCTAAATTCTTATAATAAGCAAAGGGGCATTTTACCTCTACTATTGCCTAAAATACTGTAAGGTAGCAATTAAAGGGGCAAATGACAGATCAAAAACCGGAAGGTTTCAAGATTTCTTTTTGTCTGATTACAGTCTGGCTTCATGACTATTTCATCCAAATGGAAGAAAAGGTCAAAATGCAGAGATTTACTAATTACACGACCAATTTTTAAAGGCTGTTGACAATTTACTTATCAAATGAAACTAGTACATTATTTAAAAGTTGTGATGAATAACTTATTGGGAATTTTTACTTTTAGAAACCACCAGAGTAACCTTGGATATTTTGCGGAGGGGTGGATGCTGCAGGAAACATGTAGCTTTACTTTATCTTCCACTTTAGCCAGGGGTCCCTGTGCATCCTGCGGCATTAGATCTGGGGGTCCAGAGTTGGAGGTTTGGTAGCTGGACCGAGTCCCTGAGTTCACCGCACACATTCTCATTAGCCGTTTGCCTTGAGTGGATGTCTTTTTCCAGCTTGGCTTAGGCCCAGACTGGAAACCTGGAAACATGACATCTGGGGTTTAATGCTGCAATTAAAAGGAATGTATTAAAAAACAACAACCCAATGATATTGTAATTGCCAATTTACCAGGCCATGGTTTAGGAGACACAGGATAGGTTGTTGAATAACTGAACCACATCGGGACTGTTAGATTACTTCATAATCAACCTTTTGCTACAAGTACAAAGACTATCCTAGAGTCACAAACAAGAGCCCGATGAGGGAGAAGCCAAGTAGTTTGGAGTTTAGAGGTCAAGGAGAACAGTCTGGTTTAAATTTGGCTTCTTTGGATCAAGCCTTCTCTGATATCTCTAAATTAAGGTGGTTAATTTCTTTCTCATTCTATGAGTCCTTATTTATTGCAGTCAGTTACCTTTTGTTATATCTTCAGTTAGATCTGGAGAGAGTGGTGGTGATGACAAGGATGCTCAAACCTGGATCTTGCTCCAAGCTCAGTAACGAGGACTGCCTATTTGGAGTTATAACTTAAGGTCACAATTACTACCTGCTCATTATAGGACTATGTGATTGTAGGCAGCCCCTCATCTTCTCTGTGGTTTAGTTTTCTCCTTCATAAAATACATCACTGGACTATGGTAAGGACTAAATAAAATAACGCACTTGAAATCCTTAGCAAAATGCCTGGCGTATACGCTAATAGCAGTGGTAGCTGTTAATCGTGGTTGCTGTCACTATTACCAGCTATCACGGGCTTTCGATTCTAAAAGAATCACCCTCATTTTACAGAGGGAGTAAGTAGGTAACTGAGGCTCAAAGGTGTTAAAGTCTGGGATCGTGGAACACAGGTAATCAGGGGTAGAGGAAAGACCAGAAGCTAGTTCTCCTTCCTGCTATTCAGAATGCTGTTCAGAATGGGGTCAAACAGAACTCTCCCCATCTCCACTTCTGCACAGCAGGGAACTAGCTGCAAGAAGGGGATAAAGAACTGCGGCAAGCCTAAAAGAGTTCTGGAGGAAAAGCACTAAATCAATCAAAAGTGAAACATCCCCCCAGTTTCTTCCTTGAAGACATGGAGTGGGGAAGGCTTTGAATGAAGTAGAAATGCTCGACTGCCTCTACTGACATGATCTACCAAATGCTCAGGGACTATAAGAACTTCCCAGGATCCTTGGAGGTACATTCCAGTTGTCCCCAAGCCCCTGATGTATCATTTTTCTGCAGGAATCTAGCTTCAGGGAGAAAGAATTTTTGTAAAAGGGGGAATTTCTGTTGTCCCAACCTAAATGCAGAGGACCCTGCCCAGCCTTTTATGACCATTACATGTATGAAACTAACCTGGGAGACAGCAGAACCCAGTTCATCCCCCTCCCACACTGTTCTTGCCTCTGTCCCTTTCCCCTCCCCCTCTTCTTTCTCTTAGTTTTACTGCCTAAAGCAATAGCCTCCTTTAAACAGAAGAAGGACTGGGAGAGAGAAGACAAGGTAAGAAAGCACTGATCCAACATGTGTTTCCATTTCGTGTCTCCCTACATAATACTGCAGACCTGGGCAGGGAGCTCTGCCAGTGAGAAGCGGGGAAGCTGCTGAAGCGCTGCACAGCTCTGAACCAGTGATTCCTCATCTGCAAAATGTGACTGTCCACCTGACAGTGGTTCCAGGAGGATTAAAATTCTTAGTAGGATGAGTAGGTACTCCACAGATGGTTATTAATGATAAAGCAACAGCAGCTAACACTAATGAAGTGTGGTCAAGTAAGTACTCTGTTGATAGCTTTATACGTGGTCTCATTTCATCCTCACATCTCTCTGAAATATTACAAACATCATCCTCCTTTTACAGATGAAGAAACTGAGGCACAGAGGTTAGGTCACTTGCCCGAGGTCAAAAGCAACTCCTGGTGATTGAACAAATGCAATCTGACTAAATAAATGTTAGTTTTGTTCTCTATCCCAGGCCCCAGGGCTTGCCACCAAAACACCGACATCAGATCATACTTCTATTTGAGGGAGGCGTGAGACACAGAAGAATAATTTTTAGGCTAAGTGGCTTAGGGTCTTTTCTCTCTTTTTCTTTTCTTGCCTATATTATCAACTTTGGGTAGCATTTTTGACTTTGTAGGAACTGTTATTCTGTTATAAGAATGCTGAGGGATTCCAAGCATCAATTATGAAAACAGGAATTCATTTTGCCACAAAATGATATAAATATGGAGACTCAGGGGAAAGTGAAGTAAAGGAAAAATGTAAAGATTTACCACATCGAGAGAGTTCTTGAAGGCAGGGTGAATGCTTAGCCATTTGAAACGATTTTCTTCCCTATTTTCTTTCAGATTCACTTGTGCTTGCTTTATCTGTCTACGACCAGGTCTCACTCTGTAAGGTACTGGGAAAGAGTACAATTCACAGTCTCAAATATGTGTCTTTCCCTCCTACAAAATGTTTCCTCTGAGGAACATTACTAGATCACAGCTGGTCAAAATGCTAAATCTTGATTGTCTGGATCCTAGCCAAAGTCTACAGCTACAACTTGGTGGAATAAGAATACTAAAAAGAAAAAAAAACCCCACTTTTAAACAACATTCGATCTTCTTTCTCCCCCTGCAGCAAGCTATGACCTCACGGCAGTGAGGCCTCTCCATGGAGGTGTTTAAGTTGGTTTACGGCCATTAGAAATGTTTGAAGCTCTAGGTACTACTCTGCGCCAATAGCATGTCAACTGTGCTAAAAAGCAATAATAGCTTCTCACCTTCTTAAAGATTACTGCTTAAATAATGCAGAGCAACGACAGGGCTGCACAGAGTGCCAAAAGCAGGTTGCCAAGGCGAAGCTGAGGTAGAATTACGTCTTTTGGCAGCTACGAAATTATGACATAAAGTTAGTTTTTTTTAAAAAAAACAACCTCTATAAATTAGACTACTATCCTTTTTCAAAATCAAGCAAAAGCTGGGATTTATCTTTCTCCTCACTCTCTCAGATCAAGTAGAAGCACAGAGACTCCTTTTGGGAAAGCCAAATTTAACAGCTAGATCTTATCTCTTAGGAGGTGGCTGGCGGTTAACAGTTTTAAGCATGCAATCTCCTGACCACAGGCAAGCCATCTAAAGACCTCTCCCCATTACCAGATAAGTGAAAGTGCTTAATCTTTGCTCTGGATGTTAACAAAAACAAGAAACAAAATAAAAATAGAAACAACCTTGGGCCAAAAGCATAGGCTGAAATCTGTGCCAATGGTCACCTTTCCCCTGGGCTCAGCTTGGAAGGTTTCCTGCCAAAGTCTGACTTAATAAAAACAGAAAGTTTAAAAAGGTATAACTGAACAAGGAACCCTTTACATTTTATTTAAACCAAGGACTGATGGAAAGATGAATTTGTGAAAGAGAAAGTTCCATACGCAAAGGGTAAAACAGGCAAGCTGAAGAAATCCATTTCCCCAGGCTATGCAAGAGCCTGGCCATCAGGCCTCCATGGCCCTGGACAGCAGGGCCTAGCTTGAGAAAGACCAGTGAAAAGAAGGTAAGGGAGTGCCCAAAGTCAGGAGTCCATCTGGTGGTGAGCTCTGGGTTAGTCTCAAGGCTGAGCTCCCTGGGATCAGGGAATAGGGAAACAGAGAGGAATCCCAGGAGGAGCCAAGTCAACCACTTCACCCATCAGCTTCCATTGGAAGAAATCATCATACAAATTGATGTATTAAAACCACAGGCAACAAACATTATGAGGACCATAAAATGGTCCATAGAAACAGAAAGAGATGCCAGAGATGATACCAGGGGACCCCTTGGAGTGTCTGGACAACACTTGAGACATAGGAGTAATAAAGTATTTATGCTGAGAATTAGAGGGGAAAAAAAAAGTAGCTCTACCTTTGCCAGAGACACCAGAGAACAGTAATCTCACAGAGCCTAGCTTCAGGGAGACTTCGACAGGTAGACTAAAAACCTTGGTCAGAGAATGCTTTCTGAATTTCAAAAGTAGACTTGCAGAGAGAGCTAAAGGAAGTTTTAGGCTACAGAAGCCAATGACAGACTCTGTGAAATGAAGTCTTTGAAAGATACTGCTAAAGCTGAACTACTGCCACTTTTCTAATAAGCTCTGACATGAGCTGAACCATGGGGCTTTAGTTGTTTTTTTAAAAGAAAAACGAATAGCTCTGCCACCATTTCCCAAGATGCTGGAGGCCTTCAGAAGAAGTGTCTGAATTATACTTAGCTGCTGTCTAATCATCACGTAGTGACGGACTGGGGGGCCCCAGGGGTAATTTCTGGGGAACCTTCTCTTTGGTAGTCCTTTTAGTCCTACTAAAAAGGTGCAATATGAAACTCCAGGCATATGGACAAATGATTTGCTCCCTGATTCAAATATATATTGTCTATTCTGCACTAAAAACTGCGGACACAATAATGATAGAAAATAATGCCACCAGGGGACCCCCCCTAGGAGTGTCTGGACAATATCTGAGACATGGGAGTGAGCTCCCATCAAGGGGAGAGTAGCACAGTAAAAGATAAAGCTAGAGAGGAAAACAATGTCTAGATCATGCAGAAGTCCACAAACCATGTTTAGAATTTTTTCTCTTTAAACCGTTAAAGCGTTTTAGGCTTTAGTGGTGTGTGTGTGGGGGCAAAGGTGGTGGAAAGAGAGATCTATTAACTGATTGATTGCTCTGTATTTTGGAAAGTGTCCTCTGGCTGAAGCTGGAGAATAGACTGGAGGGGGCCCAGAGTGGGTACTGGGGACCACAGGGTGTGCAGCAGTATACGTGAGAGATGATGGAGGCCTGGACCAGAATGGAAATATATCAATATAGATAAGTAGACCTATTAGGGGAAATCAGCAGGGTTTGCTAAGGTTAGATATGGGGATGAGAGGGAAAGTGAGGAACCAATGATTATGAAAGGCTTTCTGGCCACAGTGAGAGAATGGATGGAAATTCCATTTGCTGTAAACAGAGCACTGGAAGACCACAAGGCTTATGGTGGTTAGGATGGAGGGCAGGAAGGAAAAAACACAGATACACAGAATGTGTTGTGAAAACATTCAGGAGGCAGTCTGAAGAGAGGTCTAACAT